CATATGTTCTAACTAGGAAATTCAAATTGCTTAAGGAAAGACTCAGATGGTGGAACAAGCATATTTTTTGTTTGATTGATATGTTTGTGGAGCGTGAATTTGATATCATAAATGAGGTGGAGGATTTTATAGTTGATGGTTCGGGGAGTATTTCGGATTTCAAGTTGAAGAGAAGAGAGGTGTCTCAGACTGAGTTATGGAAGAAATTGAGAATCGGAAGCAGTATAGTGCATCAAAAATCAAGAGCGAAATGGATACAAGTTGGCGATCAAAACACAAAGTACTTTCATGCGATGCTTAACCATAGATCCAGAACTAATTATATTTCTTCTATACTTGTTAACTTTGTCTATGTAGAGGATGTTAGTAATGTTAAGATGGCTGCTATGGAAAAGTTCAAAGTTAGGTTTCAAGATAATTCTTGCTATAGACCATATTTAAATCTTACACGCATTGCGTCTCTGTCATTGGATGATAGTAAAATATTAGAAGAAGCATTTTGCGAGGACGAAATCAGGGAGGTTGTTTTGGAAGCTGGAGGAAACAAAATTCTGGGGCCTGATAGTTTTAATTTTGAATTCTTAAGAAGCTGTTGGGACATAGTTGGTCCAGATGTTGTAAAATGTATCTAGAAGTTCTACGATACGGCTTGGCTTCCTAAAGCACTATCATCTTCCTTTTTTGCCTTAATTCCTAAAAAGGACAACCCTCAAACTCTTGAAGAGTATAAACCTATTTGCCTTATAGGCTGTGTTTACAAGATTATTGTGAAGCTTCTTGCGGAAAGGCTTAATCGTGTCACGGGAAAGTTGATTTCTAATACTCATACTACTTTCATCAAAGGGAGATAACTTCTTGACGGCGTGTTAGTTCTCAATAAAGTTAGTGATTTTACAAAACGTAATAAGAAGACTTGTGTTCTTTTGAAGGTCGACTTCAAGAAAGCGTATGATTGTGTTGAATAGTCTTTCTTGAGGAAGCTTATGACAGCAATGGGCTTTGGAGCTAGATGGTTGAAGTGGATTGAAGGTACGGTTACAAATAGTTTCACGTCTATTTTGATCAATGGTAGTCCTAGGCTCGACTTCAAAGTTTCGGGGGGCCTTAGACAAGGTGACCCTCTTTCTCCTTTCCTTTTTATCATGGTGGGTGGGGCTTTATAACTTCTTGTCAAGAGAGCTGTTGTTATAGGCTTGCTTAAAGATTTCAAGGTTAATGATAATGTGTCATATAACATTTTTTAATACGCAGGCGATATGGTTATTTTGTGTGACGGGTCTTGGTCCGATTTGTGGGCTATGAAAGCTATCTTGAAAGGTTTTGAAATGGTTTCTGGTTTAAAGATCAACTTTGGAAAGAGTTTGTTGTTTGGCATTGGGGTGGAAAATTCATTCGTAAGGGCTGCTGAACAATTTCTTATGTGCAAGATTGATGCAGTTCATTTTAAATTCCCGGGGGTTTATATTGGCGGAAATCAAAAGAGATTATCATTTTGGAAATCGACTATCGATTGTTTGAAGGTGAGGTTGTCTAGATGGAAAGGTAGGTTGCTTTCCATAGGAGGGATGATTACTCTCATTAATTCGGTTTTAACAAATCTACCCATCCATTTTCTATCCTTTTTCAAGATTCCTATGAAGGTAAGGTTATCTATGATTGTTATACAACGACAGCTTCTTTGAGATGGTTATAAGAATTCGCGTGGTATCACTTGGGTAAGCTGGAGGGCCATTTGTAGGGGGAAGGATGATGGCGGTTTAGGAGTCAAAGATATCGGTTTATTCAACAAGGCGTTTTCAGCTAAGTGGTTATGGAGATTCGTTAGAAATGAAAATGAGATTTGAACGGGGATTCTCGAAGGAATATATGGAAGTTTGTCCAAAACAATATTGTCCAAAGACACAGATAGCAGTAGCAGATCATCATCTCTATGGTGGAAGGACTTAATGCAAATTCGTGCAGGCGCGAGACAAGTAAATTTCGTTGATTTGTTGTCTCATAAACTTGGAAATGGAACCCGTGTTCTTTTCTGGATGTCAAACTGGATTGGTGGTTTCCCTTTGCAGACAAGGTTTCCTGGTTTATATAATAGGTCCAATAAGAAATTAAGGCTTTTCAATGAGTTTGGCTGTTGGATCGCAGATGTTTGGAGATGGAGTTTAGAGCCTTTTAATGCTAATGATTGTGTGGAGCTACAATTAGAGAATGATACTAAGGCTACTCTGAATTTGATTTGGAAAGGCATTGCTCCTTTGAAGACAAAGGTGTTTGCGTGGTGTTTATTATTGGATAGGTTTCGGACTCGTCGAAACTTGGTGCAGCGCGATATTATATTGAACCTTCATGATTGGGTATTAATATTTTGTTTTAATTTGGAAGATGCAGAACATTTGTTTTTAACTGTTACAAAACACATCTAGTTTGGAATAGCATTTGTGACTGGCTTGAGGTGAATGAAATTCTTGGGGGAGTGGGTTGTTTTCACCTTCGTGCGTGGTGCATTAATTTGAAAGGAAAGGTTGTTTGTCGAATGCGGTTGGGTTGTGGATTATTGTCTGTTGGTGTATCTGGCTGGCGCGAAACCAAATTATGTATAATAATGAAATAGCCAATCCAGATCTTGTTGTGCAGTGGATTATACTTATTTCTTGGTGGTGGTTATGCAAGGAACATAATCATAATTTTAATTGTAATTACTACGAATGACGTAAATCTCCTTGGACATTCTTATAGCTTAGGCTTTGGTGGTGTTAGTCTATTTTTTGGTTAATTACTATCTGTTCATTGTATATGGGTTGGGTATCCTCTAGTATCCCATTGGGAATCAACTATTGCTTATCCAAAAAAAAGGGAAAATTGACAAGCATATCACTTGTTAAGACAGTCATTCCTAGCCACCCATTTTTTTGTAGATGAGCTTATGATATTCTGCAAAGCTACTAGGAAAAATGCACAAGTCATTAATCATCTCCTTCAGGAATATGGTCAAAATTCTTGTCAACACATCAGTCTAACTAAGTGTAAGTTTTATGGTTGAGGTAGTTTTGGACCTAAGTTAAGGCATATTGCAGATATTCTTAGATTCATTGTGAGACAAACACCATTTAACTATCTTGGAGTTCCTATATTCAAACATAAGCCTATAACTCATTATCTCTATATCATAGTAGATAGAGTATTTCCCAAGCTAACTACTTATAATAGCCATCTTCTTTCTATGACCGGTAAGGTTCAATTGATGTAGTCAGTCATATAACACATGTTTTTGTATTGTCTTAAGATTTATTACTGGTAAATCAAAATTCTTAACAAACTGGATTCTTGCATCAATAAAATTGTATGGATAGGTAGCCTAGACAATACAAAGATGATTACTACATCTTGCAAAGTTATTTGCTCACCTTTTTCTAAATGAGGTCTTGGTCTGAGAGATACTAAGACAGTAAACAAAGTCGGATGATTATCTCTTTGTTGGAATTTGTTGACTATCAATAATCAATGGTCTTTTATGCTTATTTTTGGATACTTCATACACATAAAAAACCAATCATGAATCATATTACTTTTTTAATATGGCCTCACATAAAAAATTCATTTTCTTTTCTAGAGGAAGGTAGTAGATGACATGTTGGTAATGAAAAGGACATTAATTTATGGTTGGCAATTAGTTGGGATACAAAATTAAAGATTTACACCTAGTATGTCAATGGATATTCAATTTATCCAAAATACTAAGATCAATTCAATTATCCAAGATATAAATTGGAACATTCCTCATGGCTATCCATTTTAAATCCTCACATTGTTGAAGACATTTTAAAGTTTAACTTGTCATATGATAATACTATTGGTGATGAACTCATTTAGACGAGATCTGTAAATGGCGACCTATCTTTGTAAGATTCTTAAAATTGTATCAAGAGGGATCACATTGAACATTTTTAAACAAAATTTATTTGGCACCTCTATATACCTTCTACTAAGTCATTAGTGACTTGGAAGCTAATGCATAATGTTGCAATAAAAGACAACTTGATTTGAAGGGTAATGCATATGGTTTCGAGGTACTATCTCTGCAATCATGATGTAGAAATCACATACCATCTATTTCTTATATGTAAGTACACCTTACTTTTCTGGAATTAGATGAATCGATTGTTTAGCATGAAAATTGATATACCTAGTTATGGAGCTTATTCAAACTTGCTAGTAGAAGTTGGAACTCTCAAATTCTAAATTTGATCATGAATCTCATCATAATAATATCATATTTCAAAATGGTCAAATCGTCTTTGATAGTGACATTATTCATGCTAAACAATTGGAATATATGACAAATACTTCTCTCAAGTGTCACATGTACTCTTTAACTCACGAGTTTACAATTATTAAATGCTTTGACATCAAATGTCGACCTCCTCTCACACCTAGAATCATACAAGTTAATTTGTACTTTCTTAATTTAGGGATAATTTAGAAACATTCTTTGGAGCTTTTTCAACTAAGATTGGAGTTTGCATCTCCTTTCAAGTTGAATTGCATGAAATAATATTTGCTATCAAATATGCTAACATAAGGAATTGTAGAAATCTTTGGTTTGAACTGACTCAATTCTGATCATTCGTGCATTTTCTAATGTGAATATTTTCCCTTGGGATATTTAAATAATGGAATAACACTTTAAACATTGTATGTTCCTTTAGATTCAAGATATCTCACATTTTTTCAAGGAAGAAATTGCATGTGTAGATAGAATAGTCAAAAACATATGTTTAGATTCACTTCCTATTTTATGGATAGGTTTGACGTGATAAACTATTGTTTTTCCTATCTATTTGATGACTTAAGTTTAATATCTCTCATTATTTTTGTTTTTTATTTTTTATTCAATAATTTTTCTTTATAAAAATTTAAAATATGTTTAGTATTCAAATTTGGAAACTAAAAAAGAATTGAACTTTATGAGTTTCTGATAATCAAAAACATATTTAATCTTTTAGGATGGAAAATCTAAATTTGAAACAGCATAGCAGCCAAGCTAAAATTATTGGTACAGTGGTGTCCATAGCAGGAGCATTAACTTTGACATTATATAAAGGGATATCATTGATTAGTGATGCATTTCAAAATATAAAAATGGGAGCAAGTGATACGTACCTGACAGAGAATTCACAATGGATACTTGGTGCTTTTATTCTTGCCGCTGCTAGCTTTTGCCTTTCTGTTTTATATATTGTCCAGGTAACTAAATAATTTGAATATTCCTACTACTACAATAATATTCTCTCCAATATATATATATATATATATATATATATATATATATATATATATATATATATATATATATATATATATATATATATATATATATATATATATATATATATATATATATATATATATCATGATTATTAACAACATCTATTATTTAATATATTATAATAATAACTCGAGACTATAGTAATTTGAATATTCCTACTACTACAATGATATTTCTCTCCAATATATATATATATATATATATATATATATATATATATATATATATATATATATATATATATATATATATATATATATATATATATATATATATATATATATATATATATATATATATATATATATATATATATATATATATATATATATCATGATTATTAACAACATCTATTATTTAATATATTATAATAATAACTCGAGACTATAGTAATTTGAATATTCCTACTACTACAATGATATTTCTCTCCAATATATATATATATATATATATATATATATATATATATATATATATATATATATATATATATATATATATATATATATATATATATATATATATATATATATATATATATATATATATATATATATATATATATATATATATATATATATATATATATATATATATATATATATATATATCATGATTATTAACAACATCTATTATTTAATATATTTGTATTATTTTTATAATAATAACTCGAGAGTATAGTTTAAATATATCTTAGCATATTCTCTATGTAATTACTACGACGAGTTGTATACTTCACCATATAATACAATTTTTGTAGTGTTATATAAACACACCGTTTATTTAAATGTCTCTTAGTCTCTCGTACTTTAACATGGTATCTAGAGCCTACTGAGAGGCAATCCTTCATTGTGCTTTACCTAGTTGACCCACTGTTTTTTGGTGAGAATTTTTTTTTTGACAAACTGTATCCTAACTCCAAATTGCCTTACATCCACTTTCATCACTTATTCCAGCATCAGTTTTAAAAATTCTTCAATTCCCACCACATTGGCGCCACTGTCGCTAGTGATTCCAACAACTTTCTGACACATCATCCCCACAGACAAAAGTGTCTACTCTGATTCGACCTATACCAAGGAAATTGTCATAAACTGCATTCGCAAGCGCCCACACAAGATGCTTCTTCCTCTGTGTGTGAACCTAACTTGCCACCATTCCCTCCGTGCATGACAGCGCGTCCCACCTCTGATTAAGACACCTCCTTTGTTGTCATACTCAATTTTCCGTCAAGGGTCCAGATCTGTACTAAAATATTTTTTCTCATCTAAGTAAATACGACATCTTATTCAAAAAAACCCTATTTCATCTGGTTTGTGTGATATTTCGCTTCCTTCTGATACCCATGGATGGTTATGTTGATTCCCATGGTTTGAGTAGTATTTTCACCAATTATGTCACCTCTCCACTCCCAACAGAAAAGTTAACAAGATCTAATTATGATAGTTGGGCCGATGATATCAACTTATGGATGCATGGTCAAACCTACAAGGATCACCTCACAACAAAATTTAACATTGTGGTTGTAGTTGAAAAGCCAAAACGGGAGCAAATCGATGTTTAAATATGCAGTGTAATGAAGTCCACCATTCATCCTGATATTAAACCGATCTTTCATCCCCATATGATGTGTGAATTGGTTTGGACGCAAGTAAAGCAAATTTACACGAATGACACTCAACGGTTTTATGGAGTGTGTCGTAGATTATTAAATATCATTACTCTAAAGAAGATTAAAGGGTCAATGTCAACATATATTGGTCAAGTGTACAATGCACTCCATGATATTAATAAGCTTCTACCTTAAGTTAGATGCACCACATTTTAACAAGAGAAGTCATGTGAACAACGTGGCACCCTCCTAATGCTTATTGCTTCACATGGTTTACCTCTGGAGTACTCTGCCATTCGTGATCGAATTCTGAGTTCTTCTACGATACCAAATCTATCTACTGCCTCTGTTATTCTTCTTTGAGTACTTGTAAAGTAGTCACTTGAGCCTCCTACATGTGCATCTTTCAAGGATTTTCCATTCTACTTCAATTTTGGGGGTCGGAATGCTGCAACCAATTCTTCAACACCTTTTTTGTAAATAATTCTTAATTCACAAACCACTAATGATCCTTGAAGATCCTCAATATCAAATACCCCCATATCACTTTATTCCTCCATTTCTTCCACAACATTATCAAATTGAGGAGTTAATGTTCTCAGGTTATTGAAGTTGAAGCTCTTAGAGGCTGAAGCTTTAAGAAGATGAAGTTCTCAAAGGCTAAAGCCGCACATGCTTTCAGAAGTTGAAGCCTTTAGAAGATGCATTCAGATGTTGCATTGAAAAGGTGCTTTCAGAAGATGCATTCATAAGCTGAACATCATAGCTTAGTGTAGTTTTTCCATATTATATTCTACCTAAGCTAAAGTTTGTTACAATTATTTAGAGTTAGTTATATGTTGTTAGATTCTAAACTTCCATGTAACCACTAGTTTTAACTAACTTGAAAAAGAAAATGAATGAATGTTTTACTTTCATCTATCTCTTTTCTCTGTTTTTATTCATCTTCATCATGATTCATGAAAACTTCATGATGGCATCAGAGCTCTTTTGAGCTTTATTGCACATCACTTTCTTCTAATGGTTCGTGGTGGTGCCAATATTGGCGCCAATGTCGTCGCCCGTGCTCTAATTCAAGATCCGTCTCAACAACCTGGAAACGTGTACTATGTTCATCCTTATTTCGTAGATTTGGATCTGAGCCTCACTTATTTGAGTTAAAAGTTTCTAGATCCGTCTGTTATGCTACCACCTTACAAAACCATAGAACACAACTGGATTTTAGAGCTAGAAAAGGTGTTTTTAGGGATACAAGCAAAATGTCAAAGGTGTTGTGATTCTTGACTTAAACACATAATCTATTTTTGTCTCTTGACATGTTATCCACCATGATCATATTCTTCCTTATTCTAACTTAAATATGTCCTTCAATTGGGCATATCACCATGATCATAATGGCGATACTGACCTAGTCATAATTCCTACTGCTACTGATCACCAAGATATAATTCATATTGACCAAAATGATATTGACCATACATTAATACCTGATGATCATACATCTCAACAAAACATTATCTCTAGTGATGCTTCTCTTGAACCCATCAACATTAACACACCACAACTTGAAACCATTCCTGAGCCACACATTTTGAGAATATCCAATAGACCTACTCAAAAGCCTAGCCATTTACCAATTTTCATATGCAATCTTTCAAAGAAATGATTATTTAATCATCATTCTTTAGGTATACTTTATCCTATTAAAAAATTTCATTCATTAAATAATTTGTCTATTGCACAACATCCTCTTACTTTGTTTATCACTCTGCCAACTGCGTCAAGTAGTTACAAAGAGGCTAGCAAGCATGAATGTTGGGTCAAAGCCATGAACTATGAGCTAGAGGCTTTGAAGCATAACAAAACATGGATTTTTGTTGATCCTCCACCATAGGTCAAACCTATTAGAAGCAAATTGGTTTACAAAGTGAAACATAAAGTAGATGGCTCCATAAAAAGATACGAAGCAAGGCTTGTAGCTAAAGTTTATAATCGAATTGAGGGACTTGATTTCTTTGACACATTTTCACTTATGGCAAAGATCACTACCGTCAGGACCCTGTTGGCATTCGCGTCAATGAATTCATGGCATCTACATCAGCTATACGTAAGTAATTCCTTTTGTACATGGAAACTTATATGAGGACGTATACATGTCAGTGCCACATGGTGTTACTAGTCCCAAACCAAACCAAATGTGCAACTTGATAAACTTCTTGCATGGCCTAAGACAGGCTAGAAGGAAATTGTATGAGAAGCTTATTGGTTTCCTTATTACTCAAGGCTATAAACAATCAAATTTTGACCATTCTCTTTTCACTCTTCAAATAAATTCACATTTCACTGCCTTGTTAATGTATGTGAATGATATTATCCTAGCTGGAAACTCTATGGATGAAATCAACAGGTTCAATATCACATTTGACACTAAATTTAAAATCAAAGATCTTGGAAAGCTGAAATATTTTCTTGGCATAGAAGTTCGACATTCTAAAATTGGAATTTGCATATATCAAAGGAAGCATTATTTGGATTTGTTAAAAGACACAAGTATTCTTGGCTCCAAGACTTCCAAAACTCTTCTTGATCCATATGTTAAATTAAATCAAGACTCAAGTGCACCTTTTGAAGACATACTCTGTTATAGAAGATTGGTTGGTAATTTGCTCTATCTCACCAACCACTACACACTCTGACACAACTTACAGAGTTCTGAGATACTTAAAAGATTCACTTGGGAGAGGGTTATTATTCAGAAGAGATTCAAATCTACAGCTTCTTGGATTTATAGAAGCTAATTGGGTTGTATGTTTGGATACTACAAGATCAAATTCAGGATATTGTTTCTTCATTAGTTCTTCCTTAACTTCTTGGAGGGATAAGAAACAACTAATTGTTTCCCATAGCTCTTATGAAGCTGAATATCAGGCTCTATCTTTTGCAAGTTGTGAACTTCAGTGGCTTCTTTATTTGTTACAAGATCCCGGAGTTCAATGTAGTAAGTCACATGTACTACATTATGATAATCAAAGTGCAATCCATATTGCAGCTAATCCAGTTTTTCATGAGCGCACGAAGCATTTGGAGATTGATTTTCATTTCGTGAAAGACAAGTTACTGCAAGGAGTATTCAGATTTTTAATTTTCAAATCTCAAGCCCAACTTGCTAGCTTCTTTATAAAGCCACTTCCACCAAAAAGATTCAATCACTTCATTTCCAAGCTTAACATGCTTGACTTGTATCATGCTAAGCTTGAGGGAGGGTGTTGAAGCTGAAGCTCTCAGAGGTTGAAGCTTTCAGAAGCT